CGAAAGTCATCAATTCTTCTATAATCCTCATTCATTGCCCAAATAATCAGATGCATAACAAGTGATCGAAAATACCATGGCTTCAATCAGGTGCACGTTAGTCCTCAAACTGACATCATTTCTCTTTAATACTTTGGAGAGGTCCTTGACAGCAGACTTTGCCAGAGCAATAACATCTTTTGATTTATTTGGGATTGCAGGTCAGCTTCTTGCCACTAGGCCACCAAAGCTCCCAGCATCTTCTGATTTCTTGACTACTGGTACCAAGGGTGTTGATTATGGATACAAGTAGGATTAAAACATTGACAATTTTTTTTCCTTTCTCCATGTTGGAGAAGAGTATTGAATGTACCATGGACTACCAAGAAAACAAACAGATTCACCCTGGAGAGGGTTAACCAGGCTACTCCTTGGACGCAAGGATTCTGGTGCTTCGTCGGACATACTTTGGATATGTTGTAATAAGGGACAGGTCCTTGGAGATGGACATCATGCTTGGGAAGGTGGAGGGACAGCACAAGAGGGGAAGACCCTCTATGAGGTGGATTGATTCAGTGACTGGGGTAATCAGGATGGGTGTGTCAGAGACAGTGCGATTGGCACAGGATAGAGCAGGATTTAGGGCTGTTGTACATAGGGTCGCTATGAGTCGCAAGCAACTCGACCACACATAACAACAACAAGAAGAACCATCTCCCATGATGTTGCCTATTGGCCAAGTGGTGAGGATTTTTGTTTCTTGATGTTGGATGTGATCCATATTGAAGGCTGTAGTCTTTGATCTTCTGCAGCAAGCATTCCAAGTCCTCCTATGAGCAAGCAAGGTTGTGTCATCTACATAACACCAGGTTTTTATGAGCCTTTTCTGAGCCTAATGCCAAACCCTTCTTCATAAAGTTCAGCTCCTTGAATGACTAGAAATGGAGAAAGGATACAGTCCTGACACACACTTTTCTTTATTTTAAACCATACAGTATTCCCTTGCCTTTTCGGATAACAGCCTCTTAGTCTTAGTTTGCATGTTAAGTGTTCTGGAACTTCCATTCTTCTCAGTGTTAGCCATAATTTGTTATGATCCACACAAATGTCTGCATAGTCAATAAAGCACAAATAGATATTTTTCTGGTATTCTTTGCTTTCAGCCAAGATCCATCTGACATCAACAGTGATATTCCTGGTGCCGTAGCCTCTTCTAAACCCAGCTTGAACCTCTGGCAGTTCTATGTTGATATACCATTCTACCTTTTTTTAAATATACATGTTGTTGTTATTGTTGTAGTTGTTGCATACCATCAAGTCGAAACTGACATAGCTGACCCGTCAGTGGGTTTTCAAAGGTAGTTAATCACACAGAAGGAGCTTCTCCTGCAGAGCAGCTGCTGGATTCAAGCCATGTGTCTTCAGGACTTGCAGTGCAGCTTCTAACCACTAGGCCAACAGAGCTCCCCTGGATATACATAGAGTTCTATAATATGTGGAGAGTTGTTTAAAAACAATAAGATGGAAAATGGACAGGAATATAATAAGCAATTCTCAAAAGAAGTAACACAAATGGCCAGTACATATAATAACCAAACAAACCATTGCTGTTGAATCAGTTCTGACACCTAGCCACCCTGCAGGGCAGAGGAGAACCAACCGCTCCTTAGGCCTTCCAAGCCTGAACATCTTGTGGAAAGCGACCCCACTACTACATCTTTCTCCGGGGGAGGGTGGGTTCACATGGCTCCCCTGTCCATTAGCAGACAAGTAACTGCTGTGCCATTTGGGCCCCTGAATGGGTCTGAAGAAACATCCAACCAGTCCAATAACAATTTTTTTAATTCATTTTAATGAAAGTTTACAGAGACTTAGGGTTTCCAGTTATTCATTGTTGCACATTTCTCCCTATTCATCCCCTCCCCTCAAGTCACTCTTCTCCTTGAAAAGAAAGAAAAACTCTTTCATTGTTATGCAATCCCTCCCCTCCAAGTCCACTCCACTATGCAGCCTTCACTCTGGACTTCTGTAATGAAAAGAATACCCATTCATATGTCCTTTTTAAATAGTTCTCTCCCTTATCTGTTTCCATGGAATATACATCATTCCTCCTCTCCTTTTTTGTCTTCCCTCAACCCTGATGTCAGTCCAGTTTTACAACAGTGGCCCTATACAATATTTGTTCTTTTGTGACTGAGATATTTCACTCAGCATAATGTCCTCCAGGGTCATCTGTTTTGCATAATATTTCATGAGTTCCTTGTTTTTCAATGCTGCATAGTATTCCATTGTGTGAATATACCACAGCTTCTCTATCCATTTGTTTGTTGATGGACACTTGGGTTGTTTGGGTCCAGCTCTTTTCTATTGCGAACAAAGCCGCAATAAACATGGGTGTGCATAACAATTTTTTTTGCAGTTGTGTTGTTGTTGTTAAGTGCCATCGAGTCATAGGCGACTCTGTGAACGAAGGACCTGAACCTTTGTATGACTTTTTTCATTTCTCCAGGTTCATAGTCTTTGCAGAGGCAAGCTATTTTGGAAGTGGATGCCACTCCTGCTTCCAAGCTTGTTTTAATCAAGGAGCTCCACCAAATACTGTCCACCATGGGTAACCGTTACCGCATTTGACACATCAGTGTCACAGTGTTCAGCATCACAGCAACCATGGGTTACCTCTGTACAGCAAGTGGACAGACCAAAGCTATACAACCTAGAATGTTTGACCAAAACCCATTAAAACCAGGCCTGAGAGCCACAGATTAAAGTCACCCACCTTTGGCTTGGTAGCATCACTTTTCTGCCCACTAGGCCAACTGAGCTTTCTCTGTGATGTTGTCGTTGCTTTTGCAGTAGGACAAGTAAAAATGAGCTGCTTTTCTTTCTGGCCAGATGAGTAAAGATGACAACTTCAAGTTAATAGGATTACAAGTGAAATACCCAAAGTTCTCACCTTAAAGAGTAGAGGTCTCATCAAGTGTCTTCGTAATTCTATCTGGTGTTCCTGACAGGCATGACTCTAGTGTTCAGTTTTAAGGAAAGAAGGAAGTGTCTTTCCTCCGGGCTGTATCCTGACAGTCATCTGCCAGCACCGCCTGGGAAAGGCTCCCTGAGCCTCCCTTGGGCAGTAGCGATGTACAGGGTCATTTAGAGCCTATCGATTGTAGGAGGAAGGTAACAGCTCCTTCAAGTACCCATGAAGGTCCCCTGATCCCCACCCTGCCCCCTCGCAAATAAATGTTCTCCCCTCTGTGTACTGCCATGCACCCAGGCAATATTTTTGCTGTTGTACTTTTTTGAAGACTCTTCACATATGAGTTAAAAAGTCCGGGTGGCATGAGTGTTGCCTAAAGGTAGGTGGTTTGAAAGCACCAGCTGCTCCACAGGAGAAAGATGGGACATGCTGCTCCCCTAAAGATTCTCCTTGGAAACCAGATGAAGGGTCTCCATGAGCCACACAGAATCAACTCGACAGCAATGAGTCACATCAACCAAAGTTCTTAAAACTGAGCCATTAGTTTTGTTTACCCAGACAACAAACTAGTTCAGAGGCCACAATCACACAGAATGAAAAATCATTCCGCAGGGATCTGCTACCTGCAAAAATGGTTTCGTCATTGCACTACTCCGGGCAGCCGTGTGTACTCACACCTGAGGCTCTTCCTCTTGGGACTTGAGGGAAAGGACAGATTCACTATCATTCTCAGACTCACGCTCAGGAGTGAGAACGTGGGAAGATTTTCTCCATTGAGTTGGTTGGGGTTTTTTTCAAGTTCCCACTAGTTCCAGTATTTATGGTGTTTTCTGGAGCAACCCAGGGGAGTCTGCACTAAGTGCTTCCTCCTCAGTTCTTGTGCTAAAACAGTGAGATTCAAGTGGGCATAGGGGATTGCCCTCAGGAGACTGAAGGGGGACAATCAACCCCCATGACAACTTCCCAGGATAGCAAATGCCATGGCTTTCAGAAAGCCAAACAAAGCACTGAGAAACACAGAGAGGGGAGAGAGCACTCAGGTGTCTGCTGAGAATATAACCACAGAGAGATCGTCTGATGTGGCAGAGAGAGAATCAGTCCTCTCTCCAGGCCTCAGTTTTCCTATCCATAAATGGGGTACACTAACAAAAAATTATTTCCACTCACTGTGCCTGGTTCAAAGCCAAAACTCAGATATAGTTGGGGTTTGCAGGTAGTAGGAGCTAGAAGTGACAAAAAAAAAGGGAGGAGAGAAGGTTGGGAGAAAGGCTGTGGCTGCAGGAACTGGCAGGACAGCTTCTCTCAGGTGTCCCTTGTGTTCTTGACATTTGCCCTGGAGGAGGGGGGCTTGCTATGAAGTTGCTGCTGCTGCCCAGCCTTGTGCTCGACCACCAGGGAGGTCACATGTTTCCAGGGTATGTTTGGCAGGGGCACATTCTACATACCAGGGAGATTCTAGGCCCTTCTGCTTTTATGTCCTAGAAAGAGTGGGTGTGGGATGGCAACAGGATCTAGCATTTGCTGAGTGCCTATTATGTGCCAGGCACTGGAGAAGACATGCTGCCGACTGGCATGATCTCATATCACCTTCCTGATTTACACCAACAGGCCTGAGGTTCAGAGACGTTAAACATCTTGCTAAAGGTCACACAGCTCGGAAAAGGCAGAAAGCAGATGTAGGTCCGAAGCCCTGATTCTTTTCACGTTATCCGTAACTTTTATTCTGTTCTTCCAAGATACCTCAGAGGCATCCCCAGCAGGTGAAGACTCAAGGGGGTGTTTCATAATTTTTGAGCAAGAAGTCTCACATTTTTTTTTGCACAGGGCCTATGAATAAATAGTTGATTCTTCTGGCTGAGTTTCTGCCTAAGGACTCATATGGGTGAGGTTTGCTGTTAAAGACTTGCACAGGAGGTGGTCCTTCAGCCCTGTCCACCAACCCCTCAGGAGTGCTGGTTCTGGAGGCCCCTCTCAGCCCTGCCTGAGGTTGCCCAGAGGAGCAGGAACTTCCCCCTTAACCTGAGCTGACCCTGTACTTCTTTTGCAGCGAAACCATCATGTTTTTGCACCAGATCTTTTATCAAGGCCTGAAAGCTCGCATCTCCAGCTGGCCCACCCTGGTCCTGGGTAAGTAGCCACTCCTTGCAAGGGCCTCCAGCCTCTTCCAGCCCCTAAAAGTTCCTCTCCAGGGGCCTGCGGCTACCACTCAGTGCTGGGGCACCTTACACCTTAGCAAAATCAAGTGATACCTTTAAACCCATAGATCCTTCAGAAGGCCTAGGAGAGAGTGAGGCAGGTTAGCAAAATCTATCTTCCAAAGAGGAAGATGTATACTTTATGTTTTTATTCTTTTTTCTCTTTTAAAAACAATACCTATATCCTTATTTGAGAAGATTTAAAATTCAGAAAAACCAAAAAAAAAGTTTTTTAAAATGTCAACCATAGTTCTGCTTTTCAAATATCACTACTATGAACATTTTGTATATTTTCTTCTGATTTGGGGTTATTTTTCCTAAGCGTAGGTTTTTCTTTCCTCCACCTGCCCCATTTAACTAAGTATAAATATATTGAATAATCAAAATCCTACCCTGTATGGGTGTGTGATAGATGTGTACCCCTAGCGCACATTGGTGTCCTCTCTTGCTGAAAATGCCCTATCAGGTCACTGTAGCACACCCCACTACAGAGGGTAAACTAGCATCTGTGTAACCAGCTCCCATCATGGGCTCTTAGAGTTGTTTACAACTTGTTATTGCAAATTGTCTTTGCAGGTGAAATGTTCTTCATGTTATATAGCTCACTTTCCCGACGTAGAATTAATCATGGAAATAAAGAGATACTCTGCTCCTGTCCCTGGTGGGAGCTGCGGGTCTAAGGCCCTTAGGGGAGTGCTCTCAGCAGGAACACTTGGGGAGGGAGGGCAGCAGGAGAGGGCAGAGGCACAATCCAGGCTGTAATGCAGTTGTCCCAGCAGCCTCAGCCGCTTCCACTGGGAGCTATGGAGGGCTTTAATAGATGTCCTCAGTTGAGGCAGGGGTGGGCCTATATACCGCACACAGACTAGGTATTGGATGGGTTATGAACTGGGCAAAGCAGCTTCTCTCTGCAGAGAACGATTCCTGGAGGAGACCCAGCTGAGAGCTATGAACCACCAGCTCTCCAGGTGACTGGGAGAGAGGGCCTGAGGAGATCTAGGCGGCACACACAACATCATCTACTACATCCCCTTCTCTGTCAGGCAACAGAGTCCCTTAGCTTTAAAAAAATCTATAATCCCAACATGACCCCAATAGCTGGGGCCCTCTCTCTGACCCTGAATCAGTCAGGGTACCTATGATGCTCAAAGGCAGGGATCTCTCAGGAAGGGTCCAAGCCTGGCCCCCTGCCTCGGTGAGTGGGGCTGCGTGAGCCAAGGCCTTACAGGGCATCTGTCTCCCCTGGCCCCTGGCTGACCCCCACCCTCTTTCCAGCCGACCTGTTTGACATCCTGCTGCCTATGCTCAACATCTACCAGGAGTTTGTCCGCAATCACCAGTACAGCCTGCAGATTCTGGCCCACTGCAAGCAGAACCGCGACTTTGACAAGCTGCTCAAACACTACGAGGCCAAGCCAGACTGTGAGGAGAGGACGCTGGAGACCTTCCTCACCTACCCCATGTTCCAGGTGGCTGCCAGCCCTGCCTCCCTACAGGCTCTGTGGGAGGCATGGCAGTGAGGACCACAGCTGGGAGGGCGCTATGCTGGGGCAGGGGAGCACATCCTTAACACAGACCCCAGCTCTGGGATGCCCAGGGAGTGATGTTAGGATCAGGCCCCGGTGCTGGATGGTGGAGGGCAAGCTGGCCTCCTGGAGATGGCCACCAACAGACTCTTTCTATACTCAGCTTGAGCCCATTTATCAGGCCCTATGGCCCTGCCGGGATAAAGCCTTCTACTTGAGGCGCTGGTCCCCTGGGAGACTGGAACAGTCTCCATATTAGAGAGCCTGTAGTCCGTTTCCTTTCACAGCCCTGTCCACTGTGGAAACTCTCTGGGATGAACATATCCTCTGCTTCTCTCTCTTCCTGCTGCTCGGTCTCTGTGCTGCTTCATGCTCTCTCTCTCCCTCTCTTTGTTTCTGTCTCACTCTTGCTCTATGTCTCTGTCCCTGTCTCCCTGACCCTCCCTGTTGCCCTATATCCTCCTGTCTCTTTTTTCCATCCCTGTCCCCCTGACACTCCCTCATCCCAGATCCCCAGGTACATCCTGACACTCCACGAGCTCCTGGCCCACACACCTCACGAGCATGTTGAGCGCAACAGCCTGGACTATGCCAAGTCCAAGCTAGAGGAGCTGTCCAGGTGAGTGCAGCCCCCGTCCCCCCAGAGGGTGCACAGGGCAGACATAAGACCCTCCCCGGAGGATGCTGGGCCCTGGATGCTAGGAGTTTGTTTGCATTCTGAGTGAGCAACTCAGCCTGTTCCAACTAGAAACAGAGTCCATGTTGAATTGGGGTCTCTGGAACAATACAAGGACAGTGTGAGCGAGGGTGGGGTCCCTGACACTTATGAGTGTGCTAAGAGTGAGTGTGAAGTCTCTGGTACTGCTGGGGACAGCAGGGATGAGTGCACAGTCCCTTGCGCCATATGTAGACATCGTGGCTGAGTTTGAAGTCTCTGGCATTAGTGGATGTGACATGAGTGTTTGGTCCCTGCCATCAATAGGGATAGTTTGGGTGAATGTGGAGTCCCTGACCCCAAAGCAGACAGTGAGGCTTTCCATGGGGTTCTTGCAGCTGTGTGGGGATAGTGTGAGTAGTTGTGGGGTCCCTTGCACAGGCAGATCCCAGGAAGAGCCCTGGCACTCACATGTGCCCTTCCTATGGATGAGGGTCTGCTTAGGGCACTCCCCAACACTCTGCCCATTCCCTCCACTCTCCAGTATCACTTAGTCCAAACCTGTGACTGTGGAGCTGCAGAAGAGGATGGGACTAGGCCCACGTGTGTCCAGGCTCCAGACAACAGAAGGTCATATCAGTGGATAGACAAACCTGGGTTTGTCCAATTTCAGAGGCTCCTGACCTCTACCCTACACCCCTTACCTACCAGCTCTCTCCCTCTGAAGTCACAGAGGGCCTGTTTCTGCAAGAACAAGAGCTGAGGGCCCCTGACGAGGCTCCTAGAACCCAGCAAGAAGGGTGGTCCTGGCACAAGGGCAGAAGCAGCAGAGCAAGGGGCATGTTTAGGTCTCGTGATGTCCTGAGGTGAAATCAAGAGGATTTTCTGATGGCTCAGAGGTGAAGAAACAGGGGAAGTCCAGGCTAACTACAGAGGCTTAGGCTGAGCAGCCAGAGGACGATGGGCTTGGCTTCAGCAGGACAGAGAAGATGCTGCAGGCGGGGCTGGTTTGAAGGGCAAGTCCAGGAGCTTTATTGGCAAGTATGTTGATGAGACATCAGAGTTGGGATGACAAGAAGGGAGCTGGGCATTGGAGTCTGTGATTGAGGGGAAAGGTCAATTCCAGTGTCATCAGCTTGGAAGTGATATTTAAATTCACAGGACTGGCTGAAGTCACAAGGGTGTGTGCTTACACAGAAAGACAGGACCAGGGACTGAGCCCTAAATCTCTACCAGGCAGAGGTCAGGAATGAGGAGGAGGCCATAGCCCTCCCCGGGGCCTTGCCTAGCCATTCAATGCCCACCCATTCAATGCTCTAAACAGCTTCCCAAGTATGTAGAGGGTTAGCCAGGTAGCTCATGGCCCCCAGCTAACGAGGACCCAAGGGTTACACCAGAGCGGGGCACAGGCTGTGTGCTCTAATCCTGCCAAAACCCAACAGAGTCCCAAACCTAGAGTGGAGCGCTGGGGCACAGATGTAACCCAGATGCAATTGCAAGGTCGATCAACAATTAGAAGGGCACACATCAGTCCTCACAAGTCCCCAGGAGCCCAACCCTGCATACTCTTCATTGTAAGACTTGAGTTCCCTGAGAGAGCAGGGCCCCTCTTCACTTCAGGATGCCTTTCCTAGTGCTGAGCAGGGGAGCAAGTGGCTTGTGGTGTTTGGTACAAGACCATGATCCCCCTCTCCAGGGCCCTGCGTGTGTCAGCCTGCATGCTCTTTGTTCCGCCCACCCCACCCCCAGCTCTCCCTGCCCTGAATCCTGCCCTGCAGAGGAGTGTTTTCCTATATCTGTGACAATGGTCCTCATCCTCCTCACAGTCCCTTGGGGGACTCTCAGCAAAAACCATCAGGTAACCAACTCTGGCCTTGTCTGTGCTCAGAACCACCTCTCTTTTCCAAGGCCTGGCTCAGACCTTTGTCCCACTGTCTGGTCCTAAACCCTGAGATCCTGGGTAGCTCACATCATCACTTCCCTAAGAGTCTTCACAGAATTCCCCCCAAATACATGAGTAGTTGACTCTAACTCATGGTGACCCCAGAAATGCCAGAGTAGAACTGCACTCCACCGTGTAGTCAATAACTGTGACCTTTTGAAAGCCAATCGCCAGGCCTCGCTACCAAGGCACTCAGCAAGTCAGTCTTTTGTTTGTACCCCATGAACCTCAGACCAAGAAAAGCGATTCTGATTACCTTTGGCTGCTTTCAAAAATGAATACTTCTCAGCAAACTAGCATATGCCTGGGAAGATATCTCCTCTCAGACATTCTTTCTAGAAGAGAGATGGAGCCTGGGCTTTTGAGGAGAGGAGTGTTGGGTCGATGGCTGGGGCTGGGGCAGGGGCTAAGACCCTTGAGGAAGAGACCCCATCTAAGTACCATACACTCTTTATTAGTAGTGTGCCAGCCTAGTGAATTTAAGCACATCCTTAATCTGAAAAAGAAATGCTGATGTTTTTGTTGCTGATATTGAATTATGGCAGAAACTGCTATCCCTCTTTTTACTCACCTATCATGGGTCAAACATAAAATGCATGATTTTCCATCCTTAACCCCATCATCTCACCAACAGGGAAGCAGAATTAAAGAGGCTAAGTCATTTGCTCAAATCATGCTTATTCAGTAAATCCTAGATGCAGCTCTGCTGGTTGTTATATGTCATTATGTGTTTAAACTGAATAATACCTATGACAGAACTTTCAAGTTACATAAATTAATTAGTGCTCTTGGTGATCTTAGTAGAATTTCAGGCAACTAAATAAAAAATTTTCTGCTTTTCTTGAAGCTAGATGGGGTATTTTTTCCCCCTAAAGACATTTTTTTAAAAATCAATTAATACCTCCTCAGACTCCTGGAAACCCATAGGCTCTGCACAATTGGCAGCTCACAATTTATGGCCTACACTATTTTTTTAAAACACTAACAAAACAGTTAAATGGTGCCACCTTCTGGAAGAAAAAATTGTTGCCCCAGTAAAAGGAACCAATGGGACAGTTGTCAGTATCCTCAGATCAAGGGCAGCCTGTGTCCTGCCCTCCTCCAAACCTGTTAAAGCCCACTTGATTGCCAAAGGTTCTGAAAATAAGACCTTCCAAGGTCCAAATCACAATTTAAAGTATGAAAATCCATGCTGGAAGTGCTTTCATAGAAAGAAAATTGTGAGTGCAAAGGCCCTGGGGCAGGAATGAGTTTGGTTGATTCTCTGGATGGAAATTCTATTAGCTACTGCTTTTGGCCAGTGTCGAATGAGTGGCAGATGTCACCTGCTCTTTCCCAGCGCTGGCTGGGCCTCCTGTCTGCTTTACAAACTTCAGACTTTGATAATAAAAAAATTATTTCCTAGTTTTGATGCTTAATTTTCTTTTCTCTGAAATAAGAACATGTGCGTCCTTGGGCTTATAGGTGGATAGAATGAGACCTCACTTGTGAAGTGCCCAGCAGACAGAGGACACTCAGTGTTCCTTCACAACTGTGTCCTCCCAAAGACGCAGCCTACCTTCCTCCCTGAGAAGTGGGAGCAGCTCACCTCTGACTGTGTTATTTCCTGTCTCCACAGGATAATGCATGACGAAGTAAGTGAGACAGAGAACATCCGGAAAAACCTGGCCATCGAGCGTATGATCATCGAGGGCTGTGAGATCCTCCTTGACACCAGCCAGACCTTTGTAAGACAAGGTAGGGCCCCTGCACCCTGCCCGTCCTCACCATCTGGGACCCAGCAGAGGCAGGGAAGTGACACTGGGAGACACTAGAAGTTAGGTTTCATGCCAAAACCTGCCAGTGTGAATGTGAAGTAAACCGGGGCTGCTTGGAGGAACGTGACAGCTATATGTAGATGTTGGTATCTATACATATAGATGCAGAAATTACTGGTTTTCACAGCTTCCTTCTCTCCAGATGTAAACACAGTTCTACCCAGATGGCCTTGGTTTGTCTATTGTATGTCATAGTAAACACTGGTATGTCCTTTTTGGGAAGAAAGGATGAGCGGAGGATGGAAGCTAGATTTCAATTGGCTCAGTGAATCGCAGGCTTTTTCCGTGCCTGTGAGGAAGGCAGTGCTGGGCCTGCCCCTCTTTCACTTGGGCGTGTTTCCTCTATCTCGTGGGAGAAGCCATGTCTACAGTTGTTCTTCAGCACACACAGTGTGGAAGACGCCACAGCATTGAGAGAGGCAGGTGAAGGCTGAAGAGGGCTACAGACCCGTTTCAGGAGTTCTGGTCAGCCACATACTTAAAGGTCAGCTTGTTGAAATCCCACGTTCTGGGAGAAACTCTGCTCTGTCTGACTATCCCACGGGCAACCTCCAGCCTCAGAATGGCCTCCCCACACCCCACCGTCAGGTCCTTTTAATCTAACCTGTTGCTGTTGAGTTGATTCCAATTCCTGGTGACCCCTTGTGTTACAGAGTAGAGCAGCGCCATAGGGATTTTTTAATTATAATGAGGATTAGTGTGTTGTGAATCTCAGTTCAAGGTGGACCTTAGGATGGCCTCTTACATCTTGAGGAAGGACGCATATGGAATGGTCGGGGCTCTTCTGGCTTTCTTTTCATCCCAAGTGGGTGTCAGCAGAGGGGACTTGCCAGATGAATTGGGGGTCTCTGGCCCAGAGTCCGCCAGCATTTGGGCATGCCAGAATTGTAAAATACCGTTTTTAATTGTTTTTGGTGAAACATTCTTCTAAGTCATATACCCCTGGTCTGTCCATTTGCTGTATAGAGGTAACTCGTGGTTGCTGTGAAGCTGAACATTGTGACACTGATTTGTCAAATGCAATAATGGTTACCCATAGTGGACAGTGTTGGGTGGAGCTCCCCTATTAAAACAAGCTTGGAAGCAGGAGTGGCATCCACTTCCGAAATAGTTTGCCTCTGGAAACCCTATGAACCTGGAGGAAGGATGAAAGTCACACAAGTGTTGAGGACTTTCATTCATAGGGTCGCTGAGTCACCTATGACTCGACAGCACTTAACAACGACAATCTTTACAGAAACAGATTGGCAGACTCTCCCTACCCCCATGGTGCCACTGGTGGGTTCAAACCACCAACCTTTCTGTGAGTAGGACCTTCTGAGATTCTCTGGATGAAAACTCCCAGGCCCCTCTAACAGCCTCAGCAGGTAGATGGGTGGGGAATCTCCTAGCACCACCTGCTGGCCTGTGCAGCTGCCTCTTGGCTCTGCTGGCCTGGGCAAGAATAGCATCCTTGAAGCTTTTCCCCAAGCCCATTTGTGCAACTGTTCTGCTCTTCCCTAAGGCTCGTCCTGAGACCTGCTGAGCCCAGAGCCAGCTCTGCCTGTGTCCTGCCCACCTCTGAGATCTGCTGGATGCCTTATATGTAAGAGGGACACCATATAGTATTTTGAGGCCTTCACAAAGAAAACTCTAAAGTGAACTTGGCTTGCAAGTGGCCTAAGGAATCACTTCTCTTGAGTGAGAGGTGTCTCTATAAAGGGTTCCAGTTCTACCCCGTCAAGCCAAAGTACTTCTTCCCCTTGCTTGGAGCTGGGTGAGACCTGGAGATGAGAAAATGTGGCTCTACAAACTGTCACTTGTTCTGCCTGTACCTAGACTCCATGCCAGCAACTCAGGAGTTTTCCTATCTCCTCTACAGTGATCCCCTCATCCTCACATTCTCCCATAGGGGAATCCTGACAGGAAGCCATCCGATCATCAATGCTGGTTCCAGCTTCAAACACTGATGCCTGTCCTGTTCATGCCTGATCCCATCTGAAGCTCCTGGGACAGCCAGAAAACCAAATCCAGCCTCATCCTGAATCCAAGATCCAGAAGCAAGTTGTATAGTGAGAGAGGGTCATAAGGAGATAAATGTAGGAAAGGGGTCCAGGCAGGTAGGGGCCCAGCAAGCACTAATGCGGTAGCCCCGAACAGGACTTGGAAGCTAGGGGAGGCTTTCCAGAGAAGGTGACATCTTAAAGCAGAGTGGGAGTCCATGCAATAGATGGAGTAAAGGAGGGGCTTTGAATGATGTATTCAGGTATCCACAGGTAACCTATGTGGAACTAAGCTTGGGGCAGAAAGGGGGAAGATAAAAAGAGAAGAAGCTGGAGATGTGGGCCTGAGCCGGACCACTGGAAGACATCAAATACCCAGATCTCAGGATGATGAGAGGCTGCTGAAGGGTTTCAAGTGGGAAAATGGAACCTGTAGAGCATGTGTTAAGGCCGCAGATTCTAGAGCAGGTATAGCGATGGGTCGTCACAGACACCTGCTCCACGCAGCAGTGGCCCCCTGGAGCACTGTGGGGTGAAGGGCTGTGGGGCTCCGCAGACACTCCAGGAAAGGGTATTGATCACCTGCTGATTCTTGCCCTCCTGGAACACTTCATCATCACCACACGCGCTTCACACAGCCTTTAGGGAATTTTCTTCAAGGCCTTGACCCTGGGGTAGGAGATGAAAGGATCTTGCATGGAGCTTCTCTGATCATTACCCTACTGTCTGGTCCTGAGGAAAGGCTGGAAGGCGTCTGAGAGCCTGTTTGTTACCAGCAACGAGGATTACCTTGCCCCCTCGCACTGCCACTGATCTCTCAGCCCCACTGTGAGAGTCAACTCAAGGCCAAGGAAGAAGCGAGGCTCATCCCTGAGATGGACTCAGGGTCTCCCTCTTCTGTCCACAGGCTCCCTCATCCAGGTGCCCATGTCCGAAAAGGGCAAGATCACCAGAGGGCGCCTGGGGTCTCTGTCACTAAAGAAAGAGGGCGAGCGGCAATGCTTCCTGTTTTCTAAGCATCTGATTATCTGCACCAGAGGCTCTGGTGGGAAGCTTCACCTGACCAAGGTAAGGATGCGAGAGACAAGCTGCTTCCCTGACTGTGGGTATGGCTTACCTTAACGGAGGCCCAGGTGGTGGGCAGACATGTCAGAGACGTGTGGAGGTGGGTACATGGACAAGCACAAGCACATATCCCACCACTGGTTTAACTGACTAGTTGGAAGTAACAGGCCATTGAAAGGATCATGGGAAATGGGGAGATGACTGAGCCAAAGGAGTCATGGGTTATGAACAAGCCCCTAAAAGGCACCTAACATGTGTCTGTGTATGTATATCTATAAATACACCGTATGTATAGGAAGGGAGCAAGAGAGGTGGGAGAGTGAGAGATGGAAGAAATAGGACAGGACAGAGGATGATGCCTCTAGAACCTTGCTTTTCTCTCCAACCCGAAGAGCTCAGTCACATCCCCTCCAGTATACTTCTCAAACTGTGCCAGGAGCTCACACAGGGCAGGTGAGTGATTCCTGCGGTAATGGGGGTAAGTGTGTCAGAGTCAGTGAGACTGGCCCAGGATAGGGCACAGTTCAGAGTTACTGTACCCAGGGTTACTAAAAGTCATAGGCAACTTGAAGGCACATAACAATAGCCTATTTCCTTACTGACCCCTGGGCCTTTGCTCATGCTGTATGTTCAGCAGCACAACCCCCTTCTCCCCTGGCAGGCCTCCTTGAATCCTCCTTGAATCCTTTATGTCCCTCAAGGCCTGATCCAGCACCTCCTCTGCTATGAAGCCTCTACCCCAATAAAGCCCACTGCTCCCCCAAGACTGCACAGTCCTTTCCCATTGCTTTAAGCCTGAGGTCAGTCTTACCTCTGCCACTGAAACGTTTGTGTGACCCTAGACAAGTCCCTGGCCTTCTCTCCTCCCCAGTTCTCATCTGTAAAACAGGGAGAACTATCCTCACAGAGTCCCTGTCAGGATATAATAAGCTAAAGGTGGACTTCAGTTTGCCCTGTAGACTATGAAGCATTTACCCACTAAAAGCTGCAGTCTCTCCTGCGCCCTGTGAAAATTTGCCTTAGTGAGTTTGAAATCTGAATGTGCTGTGGCCTGGAAAGGGCCAGAAAGTGTCCCTAATTAAGCCAGAGCACTAGAGAAGCTGTTCTTCCAGACCCTGGATGCCTCGCCCATAAACTCCTGCAGCGCTAATAGATCAAGCAGTGACTTAAGGGAATATGCTGCTTATGTTAACATGTCGACAAATTAGTTGGTTGGCTGCACAAGGGGAAATTAATTTACAAATATTGAATACTCCAGATTCAGCCAAATTATATATCAAGGAAAGCGTTCATTATTTATTAGTTCTGGAGTTTTCGCTTGTGAAAATCTCTGTCCAAGGCTGGGGCGACGGTTCCCTCAGTAGGCGGGACAAGGAGGGGCAGGGTGAACAGAAGACCTTAAAGCAACTTCCTGTGTGGAAAGTCTGAAAGCATTTATTTTTACGTTTATTAGTTTTGTTTGGGGATTTTTTTTTTCGTTTTAGGAATCTCTTCGCATACTTGTGAAGAACATGGAATCACTTAAAAGTCTAAGTCTGCCTCTTATTAGTGAGTTGTGTTAGATCAATGTCCCCTCACCAGGCCTCAATTTCTTTTTTTATCTGTATAATGGGAGTGAAAATACTAATCTAGATAGCTATACCTTGCACTTCACTTTACCACACTTCTTAAAGGCCCCGGGGGTTTTTTACAAACTCAAAGTTTGTGACAGCCCTGTGTTAAACCAGTCTGTAACAGTGTCATTTTTCCTATAGCAGGTGCTCACATAATGTTCCTGTGTTACATTTTGGTAATTTTCACAGTATTTCAAATCTTTCATAATACATTGTAAATTTACACTGTCAAACCCACTGCCAGCAAATTGATGATCACTCACAGTGACCCTCCACTGGCTTTCCAGGGTTGTAAATCTCTTTTTTTTCTCTTCTTGTTGTGTACAGTCGAGTCAGATCTGACTGGCACAGGAGATTGCCCCTCCTTCTCCAGTGGAGCATCTGGAGGATTTGAGCTACGCACCTTCAGGATTGCAGTGCAGCTTCTTTGGCACTATGCCATCGAAGCTCCCTCCAGAGCCATAAATCTTTATGAGAGTGTTGGTCTTTCTCCCATGCAGCAACAGGTAGATTTGAACCATCAACCTCGAAGTTAGTAGCAGAACACATTACACATGAAACTTATCTTTTCTATGCACAGGGAATCCAAAATACTGGTGTGATTCACTTTATTGCAAATTTGCTTTGTCGCAGTGGAATGGAACCGAGCTTGCAATAGCACTGAGGTCCGCCTGTACACATAAATGCTACAAGGAGTAAGTAAGATGACCCTTGCCAAGGACAGAGCCCAGTGCCTGGAACCTACTTGCTATTCAAGGCACAATCATTATCACTTTTTATTATTTAGAATAGACTAGTACTATAATCAGTAAGAATCGGCGCCTAACAACGTAACAGCTAGTAATAATATAACAATATAGTATAATGGTAGGGGAGCTCTGTTGGTATAATCTGTAGTAAACTATGCTGCTCACCCAAAGGCTGCACATCTCCAGCAGTTCAATTCCACCAGCATCCCTTCAGGAGAAACATAGGCACTCTCTTCCTGTCGCATTTTAAAGCCTTGGAAACCGACTGGAGGGTCATTCTGAGTTGAACCAACTCAACAGTGAATTGAGTATACAGTTGGCCAGATAGAGTCCTTGAGTGACAGATGGCTACAGCATTTCTTCTTTTTTAATTGGGATTTTAGTGAAAGTTTACTTTAAGGTTGCATTTGCATTCATTCACTGATACTCATTTTCCTCCCTATACCTCCCTTAATTCATTTTATAATGCACATCTTGTTCCAGGTTGTCATACATGTAATGTCTAATCATCCACCATTTATTAAAGAAGCTGTCATTTCCCCACTGAATGGATCTCATCTCTTTGTTCAAAGTTCAACTGTCACGGGGTGATAAATTCCTTTCTAGGTTTTCAATTCAATTCTATTAGACTATATATCTGTTGTTGTAGCTGGACCAGGCTGTTCTGATTACAGTGATTGTCAAGTAAGTTTTGAGATAAGGAAGTATAAGGTCTCCTAACTTGTTTTTCTTCTTCAGTTTGTTAGGTACTATTGAGTCAGGTATGACTCCCGGCAACCCTAGGAACAACAGATGAGAAACCCTGTCCTATCCTGTACCATCCTCATCATCCCTGACATACTTAAGCCCATTGCCCCAGTCACTGTCTCAGTCCATCTTATTGAGGGTCTTCCTCTCCTTTGCTCTCCCTCCACCTTTTCAAGCATGATGTCCCTTTCCAAGGAATATCCTTTCCTAGCAAAATGCCCAAACTATGTGAAACGAAACTTCAGCATCCTTGCCTCCAAGGAGCATTCTGGCTGCAGTTTTCTCAAGACGTATCTATTTGTCCTTTTGGCAATCCATGGGGATATTCAGTACTCTTTTTCCAACACCACAATTCAAAAGCATCAGTTCTTCTTCTGTCATCCTTATTCATGGTCCAGCTCTCAGATGCAAGTCATTGAAAAGAGACCATGGCCTGAATCGGGCACATCTTATTCTTCAAACCAAGTCTTTGGGATTTTCTAGATATGGAATCATTGTTGAAAAGGTATGGAGATAGGATGCATCCCTGGCGTACGCCCTTCCCAATTTTGAACCATGCAGTGTTCCCTTGCTCTGTTCTGACGACTGCCTCCTGGTCCAAGTATAAGTTTTGCATTGGAACGATCAAGTGTTCTGGGATTCCCATTCTTCTCAGAGTCAGCCATAGTTTGTTATGATCTACACAGTCAAATGCCTTTGCATAGTCAATGAAGCACAGATAGACATTTCTCTGGTATTCCCTGCTTTCAGCCAAGATCCATCTAACATCAGCTACAATATCTCTAGTACCACGACCCCTTCTAAACCCAGCCTGGACTTCTGGTACTTCTCTGTTGATGTGTTGTTCTAGTCGTTTTTGGATAATCTTCAGTAAAATCTTGCTTGCATGTGAAATCAGTGAGATTGTTCTGCAGTTTCCACATTCTGTTGGGTCACCTTTCTTTGGGATAGGAACAAATATCGATCTCTTCCAGTCAGTTGGCCAAGTGGTTGTTCTCCAGATTTCTTGGCACAACTTGGTGGGCACGTCCATGGCAGCATCTGTTAACTGAAATATGTCAATTGGTATACCATCTATTCCTGGAGCCTTATTTTTGGCCATGTCCTTCAAAGCAGCCTGAACTTCTTCTTTCATCACCATAGGCTCTTGCTCATATGTTGTTTCATGAAATTCTTCTGTGTCTTCCAATTCCTTTCGATACAGTGACTCAGTATATTCCTTCCATCTTCTTTTAATACTTCCTGGATCATTTAATATTCTGCCGAAAGCATCCTTGATTATAGCAACTCGAGGTTTGAATTTGTTCTTCAGTTCCTTGAGCTTAAGATATGCTGAGCGAGTTCAGCCCTTTTGATTTTCTGACTCCAACTCCTTGCACATTTCATTGTAATATTTTGCTTTGTCATCCCGTGCTGCCTTTTGAAATCTTCTATTCAACTCTTTAGTATCTTGAATTCTTCCCTGTGCTTTGGCTTCTCTGCGCTCCAGTGCAATTTTCAGAGTCTCTTCTGACATCCATTTTGGTCTTTTCTTCCTCTTCTGTCTTTGCAATGACTGTTTGCACTCTTCCTGGATGATATCCTTGATATCCTCGCACAACTCATCTGGCCTTCGCTCATTAGTGTTCAAAGCCTCAAACCTGTTCCTGAGATGGTTCTGAAATTCAGGTGGGATAGACTCAAAGTCATATTTTGGTTGCCTTGGATTTGGTTAAATACAGATATTTTTATTCTTTGCCAATTTGGATGCCTTTTTTTTCCTTTTCTTGCTTTATTGCTCTGACTGGGACTTCAATTCAATACTGAATAATACTGAATAGACATGGTGATAAAGGATATTCTAATCGGGTTCCTATTCACAAGGGAATGACTTCAACATTTCTCCTTTGAAAGTAATGATGGCCATTTGTTTTGTATATGTGCCTTTAATTATGTGGAAGAATTTCCTCTCTATTCCTATCTTGTTAAGCGTTTTTATCAGGAAAAGGTGGTGAATTTTATCAGATGTCTTTTCTGCATCAATTAATATGATCATGTGTTTCTTTTCCTTTGTTTTACATCTTTGGTGGATTGTACTGACTGCTTTTCTTAAATTAAGCCATTCTTGCATATCTCATATGAATTCTGCTTGAGCACAATGAATGGTTTCTTTTATGATGTAGGATTCTGTTTGCTAGGCTCTTGTTGAGAATTTTGCATCTGTGTATGGCCTAGTGGGTAAAGTGCTGCTCTGCCAACTCAATGGCAGGTAGTTCCACCTAGCTGCTCTGTGGGAAGAAGATGGGCAGTCTCCTCCCCTATAAGTCAGTTCCAACTCAACAGCCTGGCTTTGTTATCACAGTTATGATTGCTTCACAAACTAGAAATGTTGGGTTTCTAAACAGAATATAAGGAGCCCTAGTGGCATAGTGCATAATGAATCAGTCTCATAACTGAAAAGTTGGCAGTTCAAATCCACCAGTTGCTCTGAAGGAATGAAATAATCAGTCTATTCCCATTAGGGACTTCAGGTGGCCTGGCGGCAGGTTGCTGCACTCCCATCCCAAAGACACACAGTTTAAATCCACTAGTTTCTCCATGAGAGGAAGATGAGCAGTCTCCTCCCACGCAGTGTATGGCCTCTGAACACCCGTTGGAGGGTCAGCTATGAATCAGCTCTGACTAGAAGATACACGACAACAGCAACTCCCATGAAGGTCTCAGCCTCGGAAACCTGATGGAGGACCGCTGTGTGTCACAGCCAGCTGGACAAGAATGAGGGGCTTTGGTAAATATCACACGTATGTGCCTGACTCAGGGTGACCACGCTGCTCTTTTACAGAATGGAGTCATATCCCTCATTGACTGCACCTTACTGGAGGAGCCAGAAAGCACAGAGGAGGAGGGTAAGTGTGAAAGCTTCACAGATATGTGCACAGCTGTACAGCCTGAAAGGTGGGTCCCAGGTATTCATTTTTGTTAGGAGGAAATAAAGAGGCTACAGTGTGATGGGCCCCTCTCCTGGACACAGAGAGGCCAGGGCCTGGAACTTTTGCAAAAGAACTAGTTGGCCCAGCAGATGATAGCTTGATAGATGATAGATGATTGATTTTGGTTCCTCTCAAGCTCTCTGGGCCCCTGTATCAGTTTGTGCCATTAGGTTGGGGGTTAGGGAGAGCTTGGCATCACAGAGAGCACCTCTCCTTTTGTACTCAAGGACTGTGCTCAGTCACACAGTGGATACCTGAGAGATGGCCAGCCCCGTCAGGACCATCTATGAGAAGGATGGGATGTGCTGACACATTGACCACTGACAGAGAACATGCAGCCCTGGCTCCTGAGAGAGAGGGCAGACCCACAGTGAGGTTGGAGTGGCCATAGGCAAGTTTGGGAGGAAGGGTGGAGAGGGTGATCCTGGTGCTTAGAAAGCCTCAGCATGGAGGTTCCTCTCCCCACACATCAGAGTTGGGAGGGGGAATGATTATTCCACGTCAGGGTATGTGATCATTACTCTCTTCTGACTGGGTCCAAGCCTTTCTAAATTGTTCAATTTCTTATTTGTCCAATAATACCCCCTTCAGAGAATGTCGGGGTGGCAGAGGGTGCCCCACGCTATGCCACACACTTACTGTTCAGCCACAGCTACAGCTGGACTCCCCTCCAGCCCCCTCCACTGAAAGCCAAGCCAGCTGGCTTCTCCAAAGGAAAATAAATGTGTGCAGTGTTTACTCTAAATCTTACCTACCAGGGCTAGGGAGCTGGTCCATGGGAAAACCTGAACTCATGTGGAATTAATAGACTCTTTTCCCTCCTGGACCCAAAAGTGGGGCACGGCCCTGGGGCTCCTGTGAGGAGGGTTCCAGTACAAGCTTTTCCAGATCCCCCCACTGGAAACATATCCACACAGACACCCTACTTCTCAGAGAAGACAGGGCCAGATACCCCATTTTACAGAGAAGTCAGTGGCCACAGTGTGAGTTAGCATGCAGGAAGCACTCCTGTATGCCCAGAAGAAAAAAAAATCCTAAAGGAAGGGACAAGAACTGCGAAGAAACAAAGCCTTTGTCCTGGCTGCACAGGAGAACATCTAGTCCAGAGAAGGTAGCGCACTGTCCCAAGTGCGGGGCTTGCCTGTGTCTACCCCTGTCCCAAACCTGCTGCTTTCCCAGGGCCTGCTGAGATAAAGCTTCTGCAGCTTCTGTCTTCTTCTGTGCCTTTCTCATCAATATAGGTGCATTAAAAGAAATTTTTAAAAAAGCAATCCCCAAGCTATGATTTTAACCTTTTTAGATAAACAGCATTCAAAAGTTCAAGGAACTTTGATGGTGAATAGTCTGAAAAAGACCTAGAATTTGCCTGCCCTTTCTAGTACTACAAACAGTTGAGCACAGTCCGTAAGAGTTTAAGATCTGGAAGTGATTCGCTTGGTCTGGCCCGTCCTTGGGGTGGGCTTTGCGGTAGAGTTCTGGTCCTAGCTTAGCCAGTGCTCTCTGGAGGTCTGGGGTTACTCCTCTCTCAGATCTCTGTTCCCCATGGGTGAAAATGTGAGTGGAGGACAGGTTCTGTGATTCCTTGGGGCACCTCCGCTCTCTGGACCCAGAACTGTCCCTATGCCATTGAAAAACTTTCGATACTCTTGTTCTTAACTTTTCTGTCTTGGAAACATAGATCCACCACTCTGGGGTTGGGGTTGTGAGCTGTCCCAAAAGCAACAAGTGGCCTGGTACTTTCCAGTGGAGAGTTTCCACCGTTAGAACAGGCAAAGTAGCCTTTAAATCTTTTCTAGCTCCACAAGGAGCCCCCACACTCATTTTGCTCATTTCTTATTTTGTAACTGAAAGCCAAAGGATCTGGCCAAGACATAGACCACTTGGATTTTAAGATTGGGGTGGAGCCGAAGGACTCCCCTCCCTTCACAGTCATCCTCGTGGCCTCGTCCAGACAGGAGAAGGCGGCATGGACCAGTGACATCAGCCAGGTGAGCAGCACCACCACTTCCATCGTAGATAACCTGGTTAGGGACGTGGGAGCCAACTGCAGCCTTCCAGTGGGAAAGACAAGTGTCCTCCAGCCACATGTCCCCAAGGTGGACCCTAGCAGGCTATCCCTTGAAGACTGCCTGGGGTCATTCACAAATTATGGTCTGGGGTCCCCCTTGCATATGGACCACCTGGGAATATGATTTTAAAAATCCAGATTCCTGAGCTTGCCCCAGAATTGCTGTTGCTAAATCTCTGATTTAAGGCCCAGGAATCAGCATTTTCAGTCGCACTAACTGAAGACTGAGGGTTGATCCCCTAAGTAGGGCATCTTCTCCAATCAGCCAGGACAGGTTTCTTGCCCAGGGTCAGTTTTGCAGAAGGAAGATGTAGCCTTTGTCTCTAGCTGCTGCAGAGAGGAGAGAGGAGCAAGATCTCTCACAATATTTAGAGTATTAACAAGAAAAGTAGCCTCCCCTGGTGCCAGCGAGCAGACCCTCTGAGCACCTGGGTGCATGCAGATGGACAGAGATTTAACTCCAGAAGGAGCCTATGGGCACTATCTGCACAGGCCTGTTATAAACCAGATCCAGGCCTCAGCCAGCCCCTGAACAACATAACTGCCCATGCTCCCTCCCACTGCAGAGTGGAGAGAGTGAGATCAGGCAGTAGATACCAAGAAAAGCAGGGGATGTGAGACTGACAGTCCACCATACCATTCAGGCTGAGTGAGGATATTTGTGCTATAAGAGGAAAAGGTCCCTGGGTAGTGCAAATGGTTCACATTCGACTGCTGACCTAAAGGCAAGCAGTTCAAACCCAGCCAGTATGCTGTGGAAGAAAGAGCTGACAAGCTATGTTCATAAAGACTACTACTGAGAAAATGCTGTGGAGCAGTTCTGCTGTGTGACGTATGGGTCGCCATGAGTCAGAATCGACTCAGCAGCAAAGGGTCTGGTTTTTGTTCAGTGCTGTGGACTGTTGGAAGAGCTCTGTGTACTCAAGGAGGGCTTGCCTCCTGCCTTCAGCCCTCTTGTTTTCATGTCCACCTTCCCCATCTGCCTGCTCCCACTACCTTCTGGCCTGTTGCTCACCTCAGTCCCAGAAGAGTCAGACAGGGTGCAGACTGCATGCTTCACCTCTCCTCTCCCTGGGTCTTCAGAAGCCCACATGCCCTGGAGAGAATGGATCCCAGGCATGCAAGCAAAGCCTGTTCATGGTCCTATGAGTTGTAGCCAGCTAAAGGCTCCAGGGCTCCCACCTGAGGGTACCCCTAGCCCCCAAATGTCAGGAGGCATTGGGTCCTCCCACTTCTACTCCTTGAGTGTAACAATGACCCTTTTCCCCAAGCCGCCTTCTGCCTCCATAAAACCCTGACCCATCACCTGTCCAAGCCCCCTCATTCTGGAGTTCTGATAAAACAATAGCTAATGAACAGAACAAGAGCTAACAAGTCAAAGCATTACGGGTTGGAGAACTTGGAAATGCAACTGCGTAGACACATTGTTTTGCCTTCAGGAACTTTCTTTGGGGGTCTAACCATGACCAGGAGGCCAGGCTAGAGACGTCCACTTCCCACTAGCCACTTCCCAGCAATGACCCCACACATCCTTAACATCAGACAGCCCTTCCATGAACCCTAAAAAGGCCACCCCACACACCCTGAGTCCTTCTGACCCACTCTTGCCCTCTCATGTGCAGGCTCAGGGCAGGTGAGATGGGAGAGGTGAAAACATAGCCTCCACCACCACCCCACACTCCATGTCACTGTCCACCCCACTCTCACATCACTACCACCCCCTCCCATGTCACTGCCCTGCTCCCATGTCACTACCCCACACACACATACACACACTCCCACATCACCACCCCCTCGAGCTTTTATTTTTGTTTGGGTACCTTCATTCAAAGCAAACTGGATTTTTCCTTTTTGTAGGAATAAATGTAGAATTATTTGGTCCCCCGCCCTACAGCAAGCTTGCCTGCCCAGAGCACACCCACACTTGTGGGTTTTTAATATATGGAACTGTCTGTGGCATCAAACAGAGTGTTGGTATCTCAGTGGGCAGAGGACAGAGTGTACAGAACAGCTCTCACATGCAGGAGGGATTGAGGTCCTGATGGGTAACCTCCCCCAACCCTGTAGAGAAGGCACAGTTTAGGGGCTCTTTACTCACTGAATCTCTGACTTTGTCCCTAACACTGGATCTCTAAGGTCTGCAACCTGGAATGGTTAGTGGCAGGGTCAGAGTGGTCAATGGCTGACATAGCTATTTTGTAAATGCCTATGAAGTAGAAGTCATCATGCCCATTTTCAGGTGAAGATCTAAGGCTCAAGGTCACTCAGCTGGGACTTGATCTGGGAAGAGCTCTGTTGACCCTGTGCTTGACAGGACTTGAGGTCACTGTTGGGGCTGGGCTGAGAACCAGTCACGCTGAAGCACTCACGGGAAGATGTGGGTTCCAGAATAGAATATGAGGCTCTCATGCCTGGGGTCTGTTCTCTGCTTCCAGTGTGTGGATAACATCCGCTGTAATGGGCTCATGATGAACGCCTTTGAAGAAAATTCCAAAGTCACCGTGCCACAGATGATCAAGTGAGTGCCCCTCGCTGGTCTTTCCCAGGCCACACACTGACAGCCAGACACTGGAGTGGGCTCAGAAAGATGCTGGGCTTCATCTTCAGGATTTGTTTGTTTTGAATTGCTATATGTCTGTTTGGATTTTGGTTTCAATTGTAATTTGAGTGAAAGTTTACAGAGCCAATGTTTTCTCCATTCAATCATTCATACACATTATGTTTTATGACATTAATTACATTCCTCACAATGTAACCACCATGTTGCTCTTAACACTTTTCCCCTGTGATTCTAGTTTCCATTATATCTGTCCCACCACTTCCTGCCTTCTATGCTTTATTGCTGGACAAATGATGCCCTGGTGATATTGTATAGCTAGTATTTGTTTAGATGATTGTTTTGACTTAGTTTTATTGTTGTTTGAGCATGCAAATTCTTGCATTGTTGTTGTTATTTATGTGCCATTGAGTGGACTACAACTCGTAGTGACTATGCACAATAGCTCTGAAACCTCTTTTATCCTGAGCCAATCTCACTGTCTTTGACACACCTACCTTTATTACCCTAATTATTGTGTCAGTCCATCTCATCCAGGGTCTTCCTCTCCTATGCTGACCCTTGACCCTTCCAAGCATGATATTCTTCTCCAAAGACTGGTCCCTTCTGGCTACATGGCCAAAGTATGTGAGGTAGAATCTCAAAATTCTTGCCTCCAAAAAGCAGCCTGGTTTCACCGTCTCCCAGAAAGGCCTGTTAGTTTTCTTGGCAGAAAGGTGTCAATTATTCTTCTGTCAGCCTTACTCATTGTGCAGCGCTGATGCATATCAAGTAATTGCAAAGACCATGGCTTGGATCAGGTGCACCTTAGTCTCTAAACTGACATCCTTACTCTTCAGCACTTTGGCAAGGTTCCTGACAGCAGATTTTCTTAATATAATTCGTTTGATTTCCTGACCACTGGTGCCAAGAATATTAATTGTGAAACCAAGCAAGTTGAAATTAAGCTCCTTAAAATATTTGATGAATTGGGCATTGCAAATAAAAGTGTATCTATTTTTTTTTAAGTAACTGAATCTTTTTCTCTGTCCCATGGACTACCAAAAGAACAGATAAGTCTTGGGAAAAGTGCAACCAAAGTGCTCCTTGGAGGCAAGGATGGTGAAGCTTCATCTCACATACTTTGGGCATGTGGCTAAGAAAGGCTATTCCTTGGAGAGGGACATCATGCTAGGAAAGGAGAAGGTCAGCAAAAAAGAGGAAGACCCTCAATGATATCGAATGACATGATGACAGCAGCAAGTGTGTCAGAGATGATAAGGATGGCACAAGATAGGACAGGGTTCAGGTCTGTTGTTCATAAGTTTGCTATGCGTTATATCCCACTCAATGGCACCTGACAACAACTGCAAAATAAATACATAGAACCCTTCAAAATTACAAACATGTGAAAAATGGAGGTTCTAGAACCTCTTGTACTTATTTGAGAAACCTCAGACCCAGATTTTAAAGAGAAGACACCCCACTGAACACAGCCCTCCAGCTCACTGTAACTGCTTCTCTCACCAGCATGATTCTTGTCCAGGAATCCCCTCACCCTCACTCTCACTCTGCCCCAACTCCAGCCACCCACAGCCTCTCTGCTACTTCAGATGTTTTCTCTGGGGGGCCACAGACACAACATAACTAGCTAATTCCAGAACCTTTTCATCACCCCAGAAAAAACTTAGTGTCTCCACATCTAACAATCACCACTATGCTTTCTGTGTCACCAGTTCTGTACATCTTGTATCTGTGAAAGGATATTACGTGTAGTCTTTTGTGACTGGTGTCTGTCAGCATGTTCAGAGCACATATCAGGACTTCATTCCTTCTTATCACCAAGTCATCTTCCACTGTGGGGATAGACCCACATTGTTTACCATTCATCAGCTGATGGACTTTTCAGGTTTCTTTCCACCATTCAGCTATTGTGAATGATGCTGCTATGAATATTGAACATTTATGCAACCAGATTTTCCTTATGTCTTATATGCCCAGCAAGATATTTATTTTAAAAAGATCATCATATTTTAGGAGCTCTGGTGGCCTAATGTCAAGAAGCTGTACTGCAATCCCAGAGGTGTGAGGTTCAAATCCACCAGATGCTTTCCTGGAGAAGGAGGGACAATCTCCTCCTGTACCAGTCAGATCAGATTTGACAGTACACACACAATAATAAACTAAAAAATATTTTTATAAAATAAAAAAATATCATCATATTTTATAAACTGCCCCCTGATAACTATTTTTAGTACATTCCACAGATTTTTACATTGTGTTTTGATTTTCCAACCAGTTTAAAAATCTTTTCTATTATTTTTTATTTACTCTTTGACCCACAGTTTATTTATGTGGGTTTTTTTAAGTTTTCAAATATTCAAAGTTCCCTATTAACTATTTATTACTGATATCTAATTCAATTTTGTTTTAGTTACAAAATACAATGTATATTATTTTTAATCCTCTTAAATATACTGTAATTTTTTTATGTCCCAGCATGTAATCTGTACGGATGAATTACACTAAGCACATGCACTTGAAAAATGTACAGTTTGTTATATTGGGGTGTTCTATAGTTAGTCGGGTCCAGCTGGTTTGTATGATAATCAAATCTTCCATAGTCTATTGATTTTTTTTTTAGATACATGTTCTGTATTGACAATTAGAGAAGAGTTGAAGACTCTAAGTAAAACTGTAGTTTTGTATTTTTAAAAAGAATAGAAATGGGGGGACGGGAATTCCTTCTGTTTTATCCCAGGAGTCCTGGTGGCACATTGGTTAACACGGTGCCGCACACTTTTAAATTGACGACTGTGCTTAGAAACATATTTTTTTCGATGCATTATTGAATAATTAACAAATAAATGCATTAGAACACTTTGTATGAATGATGTTCCTTTTTTATTAATGAAAATGTGTGGGACGGCAATAGCCGTCATTTGTGGCAATGTGTTAAGCACTCAACTACTAACAAAAAAAGTCATGGGTTTGAACTCCCCAGCCACTCCCCAGAAGAAAGGACTTGGAAATAATGTTCCTGAGGGGAGTTCTGCTCTGCCCTGTAGGGTCACTGGCAGTCAGAATCTACTCCATGTTGTTGTTGTTGTTGTTGTTAGATGCCAAGGAGAGGAAGACCACTCCATGATACACAACAATATAATTTCTCAAGCATTTCTAGGGGGTTTATAAGGTAAGATTGTTTAGAATATCCTTGGAAAGAAAGAATTTGCAGCCATTGTTCTAAGCTGTCCTTGTTCCTTTTAAAAGATGACTAGCCCTTTAGCAACTGTCTTGGCTACTGTGGGGGGTGTGGGAAACTGCAGGCTGGCGGTGGTTCCAACTCTCTGGGAACTGGCCGCTCACTCAGGGAGACAGCTGTGTGCTAAGACCACCTCACACACCAGACACCACTCTCCTCAGGTCTGATGCCTCCTTATATTGTGACGACGTTGACATTCGCTTCAGCAAAACCATGAACTCCTGCAAAGTGCTGCAGATCCGATATGCGAGCGTGGAGCGACTGCTGGAGAGGCTGACGGACCTGCGCTTCCTGAGCATCGACTTCCTCAACACCTTCCTGCACTCCTACCGCGTCTTTACCACAGCCGTTGTGGTCCTGGACAAGCTCATCACCATCTACAAGAAGCCCATCAGCGCCATCCCTGCCAGGTGGGTTAGCACCCACAGCTGACCTCCTCTCAGGCCTGCGAGGGAAACTGAGCTTTGCATTGACCTGGGGAGCAGAGAGGTGGGGAGGTGTGTGTAGCCTGGGAGGCTGAGAGAGGAGCTGGATGTGAGTGGGGTGATACGGATGCCACACACATACACTGAGGAGCCAAGCAAGCCCTTTGTAAAGATGTAGGGTAGGCTGACCTGTGTGATGCTGCTACTCAATCTCTGCTTTCTCCACCCTCAACCTGCCCATCCCCAGAGTTTAAGTGGGTCTCTTTGTCCTCTCTGTCTTGCTCTGCCTCTCTGAGTCAACCTAATTAAAGCAGAGAGCCCCAACTCTCTCCAAAGGACAGGGCTTCTCCACTAGTCTTTTCATGCTGCTCCAATACAAATACCACAGGTGGGTTGCTTTAAAGAAGAGAAGTCTATATTCTGACAGTTCTGGAGGCTACAAGTTAGCATGAGCTACAGTAACATAATGTGGAAGGGCTCTCTTTGGCATGGGGGGCGGCTCTTGTCTCCCTGCGTTCCCCAATTCCTTGGCAATCTTCACAAGGTGTCTCTCTTCTCGTATTTGTGTTCCCTTGTCTCTATGTCTGCTTCTCTTTGTAACTCAAAATGGCTTAGGTTTAGGATCCACCCTACACTACTGTGGCCTAATTAACACAATAAAGAATATCCTATTTCCAAATAGGACTACGTCCACAAGTATAAAAGTTAGGATTCTAGCACATATTTTAGGGCAACACAATGCAATCCATGATAGTGACTTTTCCCTTTTAAAGAAGAAAAAGAAATCTTATCAATGCTCTGCTTGAATTGTGTGTCCTTGCTCTACTGAGAAAGGAAATGGCCCTTTTTGGTGTACTTTGAGTGGTCAGTCAAAAAGTTACCTTTGTTCTTGGTCTTACTATCTTCATCTCATTGCCCATTAGGCTAACAAAAAGGGCAAAGAGACTTGCCCCAGTCGCCTAGCAAGTCTGTTGCTGAAAAGGGAATTTAACCCAAGGCCTGATCTCCTTGAACTCATGCTGCAGTCCTCATGTCCTCCTCCCTTTCCTGTTCCAACCAGTGTTCAACTGCCTCCTCCTCCAACTCTGGCCAAACTCCAAAGTGCCTGATAGACACTGTGAGCCCAAGGTCTCTATTCTATGAGAATTTAGAGACAGGTACAGCACTGGTCAGTCAGAACTGATAAATCTCACTCCAGCCCAGAGGTCCAACCTCAGATATTCCAAGGACTAGAACTTGCTGTCTGAAAAATCCCCCAGTCCAACTCCTAGCCAACCAGAATCTTGATTTAACAAAGACCCCTCTTCAGTCTTACCCAATGACCCTGGCCCCAAGGTGAGCCCTGAGGCAATGGGTGTCAAATGAAGTAAGAAAGGCTCTACCTACAGCCTGCTTTGAGATGCTTAAGGAAATTAGTTATTAACTCCCTAAAACAGGTTGAATGTGAGGCCCAAAGCAATGGAAGACTTGCCCATGGTTCTTGACCAAGTTGTAGGTCGAGTTCAGGAAACTGCCTCAGACCCATTGAAGCTGGTCAGTAATCAGACAGGCCACATAAGCTCACCTTTCCTCAGGGACCACCGGGCCTGGACCACAGTTGTGGGTGGGCCCAGCTTTCTTTCATTTGTCAGTGGATCCACTCTGACTCATGGTGCTCTGTGAGTATCAGAGTAGAACCATGGCCCAGGGAGTATTCAGTTGCTGATTTTTTTTTCCCCAAAAAAAACTTTCTTGAACATTACAGCTCCAAAAACCTGGAACCTGGGGCAGTTCTGCTGTGCCCTGTTGCTACTAGTTGAGGTTGGTTCAACAGCAGTAGGTTGGGTTTGGACACTAACCTCCAGCCCTTCAGTTTTCAAAGGTGTTAACCATTTTGCACCACCAGAGTCTCCACCCTGCTCTCGGAGCCCCAGAGCCTTCCTCTGAATGTTCCTCTGAGACAAGAAATGGAGCCAGAGCTTCTGGTCTAGGACTGTCTGGAGCTAAGCTGAATCAGACCAACTTCCCAGTACCACAGTCTGGTGTTAAATAGAGCCACCCATAGACACAGGAAGGGTCTAGGAAGCCTGAAGCATGAGGTATTCTGGCCATCCCTTCACCACTCAAAGTATCTCCCATGAGAGCCAGCCGACTACCCAGAATGCCCTCCTCCCTCTGCCCCCCTCACCCTAACTCTTCCCACACTCATGCTTACTGTCCACCAGCAGCTCTGAGCAGGTCAGGCCAGTCAGGCCTGCCTCTCTTCCCTGCACTTCTAGAAACACAACAGTCTAAATAGTCATTAAGAGAGTAGGGTGGGCTGGCATCTAAAATGTAAACAGGTCATTCTCAGGGACCCAGGTGGACGGTAAGCCACCGTGGAGAGAGGTAGCTGCCAATCCCGGCTTTTTGGTCCTGTCACCTCAGCCGATTTCCTTCGCCTCTCTGAACCTCAGTGACTTGTCTGTGAAAAAACAAAAAGCTAAACCTGTTGCTGTTGAGTCACTGACAACTATCAGCAACCACATAGTGTAGCATATACCTGTCCCGGTTTCCAGGTTTCTAGGGCTGTAGACTTTAAGAAGGCAGACTGCTTCACCTTTCTATTACAGAGGGGATTCAAACTGCTGAGCTGCTAACAGCCAAGTGCTTAATATTTATACCACCAGGGATCCTTCTATCTGTGAAATGGGATAATAATGCTACCTTCTGGGCCACTCCCTCGCCACTACCCACTACCATCCAGTCAATTGTAACTCACAGCGACCTGGCAGGACAGAGTGCAGCTGCCCATGGAGTTTCTAAGGCTGTAAATCTTTAGAGAAGCAAACAACCTCATTTTTCTCCCTTGGAGCGGCTGCTGAGTTTGGACTAATAGGTTGGCATCTGAATGCTTTACCCAGAGTGCTACCAAGGTTCTTCTTAATGAAACCACAAACCCAAAACCAGACCCACTGATAACACATCAATTCTAACTCCTAGCAACCTTCCATTGTGTTTCTGAGGCTTTAAATCGCAACAGGAAGAGACTGCCCATCTTTCTCCTTTGGAGCCACTGGTGGATCCGAACTAGCAGAGATGTGTAGCTTTGGGGTTAGCAGCATAACTATGGACTGCCACCAGAGCTTCTGGGGAAAGGTGGTTGTTATTATGTACCGTC